TATAGTTGTTTTCGTACAGCAATATAGTTGTTTTCGTGCAGCAATATAGTTGTTTTCGTTCAACAATATAGTTGTTTTCGTGCAGCAATATAGTTGTTTTTATTACTTTTTAGTTGAATGTAATAGTTGATTTAACAAATAGTTGATTTTGATAAATGAGGGTTGCTGGAGATATATAGTTGTTTTAATCATATTGTTTTAATAACAGTTGTTTTAATAATAGTTGTTTTATTGAAATATAGTTGTTTTAACTGAAGACAAAAAAATATAGTAAAAAAATATAATAAAAAAGTTAAAAAAAATATTTTTTTTTAAATATATTTTTTTAAAATAAGAAATAAATAAAAAAAACAAAAATTAAAATTAAAATACAAAAAAATAAAAAAATAAAAGTGTATCAAAGTAGTGTATAATAGGTAGTAAATAGAGGAAGGGTAAATTTGAGAATAAAAAAAGGATGGGTCTCTCACTAATAAAGCAAAAGGAGCTAGATCTATCCTCATTAAAATAAAGCTAGAGGGGGTTCTCACTAATAGTCCCTAATTAATAATTATCCAGTGTATTTCACAAGGTGTAGCATCTCAAAGAACATAGAATAATTAGTAATTTCCATATTAATTGTAAAAATAAAAGAATATAATGCCATTAATTTTTAGGGACCCTCCTCATTTCGAAAATATATATAACTAACTACCATGCGGTTTACACTCTAGTGCAAACACCCTCCATTTGGATAATAATTTGACATACCCTCCTAGCCCACCATGAAGTACCCAAAATACCCTTTTAAATCAGTTTTAAACCCTAGCCACCCCATATCGGTCTTTATCTTACTCTCTCAATTCCCAAATCCAAATCCCGCCCCCCAGAGTCTCTAACCGGCTATATTGCTTCCCAAAGTCATAACTCTCTCTCCGGTGGTCAGAATTCGATGGTTCAACTATCGTTGGATTCCTCTCGTCGAGCTCTTTGTTTTGGTGGGTATTTCATTCAGTTTTGAGTGCTGGATCTGTTTCTGCAATGCTTTTTTAGTCGGCGTATTTCGACGACGGTGGTCTTACTAGAGGTGTAATTTGTTTTTCGCCAGTCGGAATTTGACCCACTGTTTGATTCCTCTCGTCGGGATCTATATTTTCAGATCTGATATGCTAAATCCCACACCAATTTTACCAAATCATTCACACAATTGAAAAAAAAATCTCTCTAAAATCTCATCTTCTCCCTCCCCATCCTTCTTATTTTCCTAACTTTTTCACAAAATCACACACTAAAAACGTCCATTTCATTCCAAGTTCGAATTTGAGAAAAATCTTCATGTGTTCATACTTAAATAAAGTTGGAATTTGAGAAAAAAATTCGAATTGATATGAATTTAAATAATTAAAAAGACATAATGAAATTGAAAAATATTAAATAAACCTAACCTCACTTTTTATGATTATTCACGTGAAAGATTAACGAATTTTGAGTGACTTGGAAAAAATCATCATAGAAAAAAGTTAGAGAGAATATAAGTAGAGAGATATTTTTTTTAATTTATGAGTGGGATTTAGTAAATTTAAGTGTGGGATTTAGCATGCCCTTTTTCAGATTTATTTCTATATTTTTTATATTTTATTTTATTTTGTATTTTCATTTTTATATTTTCAGATTTATTTCTCTCGATCTCTTAGTGTTTGTTGTTTTTTGAGAATGTTTCTTTAATTTTTGTTGATGTGCACTAAAATATTTTTTTGTTTTGATTTTGCAATTGCAGCTTAATGAAGACCATTGATCTTTTCCTTGAAGGTGTCAAAATTTTTTGTTGAAGTTACATCTGCTTCGTTCAACAGACTGTATACATTACTGTACATTACTATACATTACTTGTTACATATAGTAACATGTAGTTACATATGCATATATTTGTGTATTTTCGATTTGTATTTTATTGTTTTCGAGGTAATTTATAATATAAATATTGAAATTTGTAAATTTTTGTTGGGGTTTATGAATTTCTTTTGTATAAGCCAGTATTCGTGTGTATATATAATTGATCGACTAAAAATATGGGGTAAAAAAAAAGGACATAACTATTACTACAGTTACATTTAGTTGTTTTTAGTGCAGTAGAACATATTGATTTGAAAATGAAAAAAATATAAAAAAAAATTAAAATATATATAAATAAATTTAACAATCAGGTTTATTTTATTGAAAACAAAAAAAAAAGGAAAAAGGAAAAAAAAATAATAATAAATAAATCAGCGAAAGTGATAAATGGAGAACAAGAAATGATGAATGCAGTTTGGCCGAAAATTACATATAAATGTAGTATAGTACTTTCACTTCTCCAGAGGTATGTTAAATGATGATTTATGCTTGAATTTATCCCTAGTTTATTTAGTGGTTAGGGGATTATGTAAAATAACCCTTAATTTGTATTCTTACCGTGCTTAAAAATACTCAAGTAATTCCCTAAAAAAGTTGAAATCAAATTCCCCACCCTCATCCAATTGCATATTCAACTATATTACCATTTACCATAAAAATAATTCCCTCAAATCAATATAATAAATAAATAAATAAATACATAGATAATGGAGATAGTTGTTAATTAATTGTTACTCATCCACCAAATTCTTCATTGACATATATGTTGAATCAAATTAGATGAGCCCCACACATAAAACACTTTTCATTACCTATGTATTTTAGAGAGAGAGAAAACTTTTAGGGGATCCGAAACCGCCCCGTGGGGAGGCGGGTCCGGGTCCGAGTCCGGGTCCGGAGCGGGTGCACCTGGGTTTGGGTCGGGTCCGGATCCAAACCGGTTTTCCTTTTTTTTTTTTGTTTTTTTTTCCCAAATAATTACTATTTATAGAGAGTGTTGTTGCCACATAACTCTGCGAGAGAGAGAAAAGTTCAAACTGAGACTCGAAAAAACTCTATCTTTTCGTTTCATTTAAAATGTCAAAAAAAATATATATTTAAGTGTATCCATTAAACAATTTTTGAAAAAATATAAATGTGTATGACTTTGTGATATAAAATATATATATATATATATATGTATATATATATATATATATATATATATATATATATATATATATATATATATATATATATATATATATATATATATATATATATATATATATATATATATATATATATATATATATATATATATATATATATATATATATATATATATATATATATATATATATATATATATATATATATATATATATATATATATATATATATATATATATATATATATATATATATTTGTTATTAGTAAAGATTTTAATATTAATAATAGTGAACATGACAATTAATAATTTATTAAACATTAGTTATACAATTATTATAATCATTTTACAGTGTTATATATATTTATATATTTATAGTTACGATTAGTTTAACTATAATTAACTTTGTCCGAGTGGTTAGTACTCTATTAAACCACTCGAGCCACCTGGATTCGAACCTCAATCTCACCATTTTTTTGTCCCGACCTCCCACCCCTGCCCCCAAAAATAAACAAAATAAATGAATAAAGAAGAGGAGTTTTATACATCAATGAAGTTTCATCTTGAAAATCCATTTCCACTATTCAAATAAAGGAAAAAATCCCATCACTTCTCTCTATTGGTCGAGAAATTTTCGCTTCGATTCTCGATTTTTCGCGTGATTTCGCTCCTTTTTCGTCTTATCTCACCATTAGTTATATGGATTGTTTTCTCTCCACTCATTCAATAGTATTAATTATTACTATTAAATTAAATGACTTGGATGTTATAATTTATATTTTACCGCACGACTAGTGACACTTATAATTTGGATAATTATAATAAAAATGTAAATTTTAAATACTCAATTATGAGATGATTGAGCGTTTGTTGCTATGGTAAATTTACAAATCGCCAACAATTGTTTTCCTGACTTAACGACATGAGAGGGTAATCTCAGATGGCTATATTAATTTGTCGATAAGGTTAAATGACTCGTTTTAAGTTAAGAGCTAAGATTTAAGATTTATTGTAAAATAAATTCATGCAAACAAATTTAATGATTTTTTTTAGATTAAAAGTGAATTTGTTGTTACACAATGTAGTACTTTTCGTTTTTTTTTTATTTTGACAAGTGATGTAACTCGTGAACCGGATAGGCTGATTCGATACAAGATTTGAGCTTTTGGTTGAGGTTTAGTTCGAGCCCAATTACATGAGGAGCCATGAGCTTTTCTTTTCTCTTTATTTTCTTAGGGTAAATTACAATCACCCTAAGGTATGGTCAAATTACGAAAAAACCCCTCTTCTTACACCTTCACCTTTACGGTGTCAAATTCTACTTAACCATCTAGATTCCGTAGAATGTGTTCTAGTTTGTACTTGTTTTGTGTAAAAATACAGTTTCTGATGCACCACAATATGATATATATAAGCCAAAAAACACATATTATGATCATCTTGCTTCAAAATGTAGAGCTCGAATGGGATAAAACGGGTACAAAAGTGATAATATTCCATATAATAAAGAAGATTCCACTAAATTTGAAATCGGAAGGGTGCACGTGTAAGAAAATTTATGGTTGAGGGGTTGTTATAATTACCCAAACAGGAGGGGGTAATCGTAATTTTATCATACCTCAGGGGTAGTTGTAATTTACCCTTTTTTATAATTAATATAAGTAATGTGTAATAATATATATATATATATAT